ATTAGACTGGGGTTTCTGCATAGAATATTAGCTGCCACAAGATGGCAGCGAACAGCAAGCCATGTAAAAGAAAACGTTCTTCAGAAGGGGCAGTTGGAAGCCGAGGGTGGTTGTAAAAAGAAAAGTAAATTCGCAAAGGTGACCTTAACAAGGAGATGAAGTGATAACGGGGGAGCAGAAGCTTGGCTGGTATTACTTCGATCAAACACTTCAGATAAGCCAAAACTGGTATTCAGCGTGGATGTGTTTATTACATTTATAATACCATCTTTTCTCAAGATGGCATATGATCCTCCTCTCTGCAGCCCTGCGGGCTGAGTCAGGCTGAGTCTGACTGGCTCAGAGTGACCCAGGGAGCTGTGTGGTTCCGTGGGCTGCGAAGTCTGAAGCCCCAGAGCCGTCGACACTACACCACACTGGCTCTCAATCCACTGGTACTGAGGATTAGACTGGGTGTCACTGAGATTTTGGAATGTCCCTTACTGATACTGCACACATACCATCCCCGCCTGTATATGTGCTATTTCACTGTACTTCCACATGGCTGGCTGGTATGTTTAAAGCTAAAAAACCTGTAGTTGTGTGTGTGTGTGTGTGTGTGGACTCCCTCCCACAATTTGCCCAAAAGAGAATGTGGCACTTGCGCTTGAGAGAAGTTGTGCTTGGTCTTGGAAACAAAGAAAAGCCACGCTGGATCGGATGACCAATGGTTTGTCCGGTCCAGCATTCTGTTCACTCAGGAGCAGTGTTCTCTTCCCCAGGCTTCCCAGCACCTGGTGTACACCAGCACACTGCCTCTGGTACCAGAGGTAACACTGAGAGCCTTCTCTGCCTTTTCACTGTTCTTCCCAATTCTATCTCAAGAGACTTGTTTGTACTGGGCTTTGCAAATTTCTTGTGCTATTTGGTTTAACCAGGGTTTTTCATATAGGTGTGTTTTAACAGTCTTTTATTAAGGCCTTTGTTTTTGCTTTGGTAGGTGGTATGACTCTTGTTTTGAGCACCAGGTCACTGTAAACACTGATTATAAAATAGTATACACTTTTGTTCCATGCCTTAATTGTAATAAAATATGCATTAGTTGCTTCCAGATTTCTTAGCTTTGGGGGTTATGTTTCTTGTAGGTCAGCCTCAAATGAATTAATAGCTAAAGTCTACAATTAGCACACAACTATTAAATAACTCCTGTAACAAGATGAACTAGTGCCATTCTCCTGATAAGGGTAAGGGCCTAGGTTTCCCCATCCCAAATGAATCAATCCCTTGCTAATGTGAAGTCTAGACTGTGTGTGTCTGAGTGGAAGAGAGAGAAAGTATCTAGTTAGATAATATGTTACACATGACGAAATGAGGAAATACATATTTACAACAATGATACAAATATTTGGAGCAATGGTATAAGGCAATATATTTGGTAATTTTATAACTGCAACTATCTCTTTGTAGCATTGTTCCAATGTTTTTCTTGACTTCAGAGGAAATTATTATAAGAAAAATCTTCCCTCTTCTCCCACTTGAACCTAAAAGAACTGGGATGGACCAGCACCCACTGGGTATGGCTCTTTCCTGGTGGAACATTTTCTGGGTTTGTTTATATGACTATTTTGTGTTCTTGTAAAGTTAAGCCTCGTTTCATAAATTCCAAAGCCATGCAAGTGTTTTCCCAAGGAAAAGGCATGAAAGATATGCTTTGGATGCAAAGCAAGCAGATATAATAAACTTGGAAGCCTATCAGATCCTAATTAATCTGTTTCTGTGCCTACAAGAGTCAGGTAAGAAGGAGAAACTTCAGAGGTGTCAGCCAATTTAGTTGGTTGCAGTAGTCAATCAATCAGTCCAATGCATCTTACAAGGCTAACAGTTCATGGCATAAATGTCATGTTACAGTACTGTCCACTCTCAAAGGCAGGATCCAACTGAACATCAGACCCAGCTCAAGCGGTTGAGATCCACTTCCTAAAATTAAGCGGAAGACCAAACTGAACAGCATACACAGCCTTGAAAGAGGGTCACTTGCTATCCGTAATGAAATATCCAGCCAGGCCTTAGTCTTGAAGGAACCCACATCTGCTAATGAAGGCTACTCCATAGAATGCTTGTGAGTTCACCTTACAGTGCAAATTTGGCAGGTGGAAGCAAATGGCAATGTGAAAACACAGCAGAAACAGCCTGCTCCCTGCCCAGACCAGCATTATATATCCCTTCGACCTTCCCTGTCACTGTTTGAAAAGGAGTTGGAGCTCAGCTCTTGCCCTGGCTCACGGGTCTCCAATGGCTGAGCTGCTTGGAGCCTTCCAGGCACTAGTTTCACACTTATTTTTTCTTCCTCTACAAGAGCTTTCCCTAACTGGGTATCCTCTAGAGGTGTCAATGTACAACTTCCAACAACCACAGCCACTCTGGTGCCAGGTTAGGGAAGAGCACCACAATCACTTTCTCAGCTGGAGAGGGATCTGAACTCACAATCACAGTTCTAGCTGGTGTACCACGCTGCCTTCAGCCATGAGCACTGCTTAGGACTCTTGTTCCTGCACAAAGCTAACTTTAAAATTCATGGGGACTGCACTGAGTGGGAGATAACTCAAATTTGTTATCTTGAAATCAGTCTCCTTTTCAATGCCTTTCCACATGTTTTATGTTGGAATGTTCTGTTCTTTGATTTTGGAGACGGTCCTTTTCAGGGTACAGAATAACTCGATCAAATGGAATTTGACGTTCCATGTTAGTGGGGATATTGGAAGCAGGAGCATCCTAAACTGAACATGCAGCAACTGACATTACAAGCCCCGTGCGTGTCCAGACTTGCCTTTTACAGTGACAGTGAGCAGACAAATCTTGAGCTTTAAAATCCATGTGGTCCAGCAGTATGCTGTAAATGTACAGACCTCTCACACGATCATACCAAGGTTTATCTTGTCCAGCATTTCTGGGAAGGCTCCTTGCCATTGAGTTTTATAGATCACATGCTTCCATCAGCCTCTGCTCTGTAAGTCACCTGATTCCACAGCACTGAAATATCTTTCACTGGTGAAGAAATAAAAATACCCAGTAGTGATGCAACCATTCAGAATTAAATTTTCCATGCTCCAAATAGTTTAGTTTACAACCAGATAAGTAAGCAGAGCATGGTATTCAAAGTATCATACAACAGTGCTGGTTATGGGAGGCAATGAATGTTTTCATTCTTTCTTTCTTGGCTGAATTTTTATATCTACTTACTTGGGAGCAAGTCTCACTGAGATCAGTAGGCATGTGGCATATTTCCAGAAGGGCAGTTGTATTTGCTGCAGCAGATTAACAAAACAAAGGATCTCGCGGCACCCAGGAGACTAATAAATTTATTTTCACATAACCCTCTGTGGACACTGCCCACTCATAGAGGGTTAACTTCAAATTGGTGCATGTATATACACATGCAAGGTGTGTGGTAATGCAGATGCAAGCCTTAGTTGAAGGGAACTGAAATGCAATAAACAAACTGATGTTTACTTTAATGGTTACTGTTCACACATTGTTGTTCAGGGATAACACAGGCTTCATTTCAATAGGAAACCAATTAACATATATACTGAGATTAGAAATACACATGAACCCCAACGGAGGTGCCGAATAGGGGGTCTACCACAGTGGTTTTACTTAGGTGTTCAAAATTCCTTTGTTGAAGAAGGGCTCCTTTAACAGACATTGATCAAGTGTCCTTCAAAGAACTCTTATCATGGAATTCTGGGAATAAACCTGGATTAACAAACTGGGACCTACTTCTGGCCAAACCTGTGGTGATTTGAACTGACCCTGCAATCATGCTGGTTGTTGATGCCACAATGTGACTTTTAAAGCATTTTGAACATGAAAAAATGGGATTGCACATTATCACATCGGTGTACTGCAGTTCCGAAAATTACTTTCAATAAACAATATTTATTATCCGTACATTTTGATTTTCTGAGTTTTATTTGAGGCCATCTGAGTGTTGGAGTTTTGCCTGAGTGTGCATCCAGTCCTCTGAAGCCAATTCAGCTTGACTTCGTAGAGATTTAATCCACAGCAAGTTACCATCGCGATTTCTGGAGGTGAAATTGGTGGGTTACTGATTAGGCTTTCTGACTGCAAACACAGCAGACAAATAAATCAAAAGAACTGTCAAAATACTTCATAAAATATCTTCAAATGTTTGCAAAGCTAGCCCTCCTTATACCATTAAATCCAATCCAATGGTTCATATAAATCAGATGGGGAACTGAAATGCTGGCGATAGTTTATGAACCCAGTTGCTCAATTTAACTTTCTCGGACAGGTAAAGCATAGGGGAGCGATCGTGTTATCTAAAAAATATAAATAACTAAATCCCACGCCCTAAGAGTAAAGGCATTTCTCCGTAAGGTGCGTCCCCTCCGAGCCCAAACTCAATGAATGCATGTGTTACTTGGGGCAATTCAAAGAGCTTTGTTGATGAATCCGCCTCTCCGGGCCAGCCGCTTTTCTTCCCGGCGGGGCCCAGAGCCCGCAAAGCTTGACGTGGCCCCTCTTGCCAGCGCCGAATTCCGAAGGGAAGTTTTTAATTTACGGGAAAAAGCCCAAGATTTCCCGGTCGAAGACGCGCCGGGGCGGCTGCGCCCGCGCTTCCGCCCGGTTTGCGGGCGCCCGCCGCGCCCCCGCGGCCGGGGAGGGCGGCGGCGGCCAAGGCGAGGTGCCCCGCGGGCCTGCCCGCCCGGCGCGGGCGCGGTGCGGGGGGCGCACGGCCGCGTTTTCGCGGTTTTGTGGCACGCAAGAAACACAAAGTCGCCGGGGCCAGAGCCATTTCTGGCTCCCTGCGCGCAGGGCCTGCGAACGCACCAATCAGCGCGCAGCTCCGCCCTATAAATAGCAGGCAGCGGCTGGTGCGCCCCAGTCCAGACTTTACTTTTCTGCGCCGAGCGCCTCGACGGAGCCCCTCGCCGCCGCCGCCGCCGCCGCCGCTCCAGAAGCCCGCCCGCCCGCCGCCCAACGCCCGCCCGCCCGCCATGTCCGAGACGGCCCCCGAGGCGCCCGTGGCCGCCGCGCCGGCCGCCAAGGCGCCGGCCAAGAAGGCCAAGAAGCCGGCGGGCGCCGCCAAGCCCCGCAAGGCGTCGGGGCCCAGCGTCACCGAGCTGCTGACCAAGGCGGTGGCGGCGTCCAAGGAGCGCAACGGCGTGTCCCTGGCGGCGCTGAAGAAGGCGCTGGCGGCCGCCGGCTACGACGTGGAGAAGAACAACAGCCGCATCAAGCTGGGCCTCAAGAGCCTGGTGAGCAAGGGCACGCTGGTGCAGACCAAGGGCACGGGCGCCTCGGGCTCGTTCAAGCTCAACAAGAAGCAGCAGGAGGGCAAGGCGGCGGCGGCGGCCAAGAAGAAGCCGGCCGTCAAGAGCAAGAAGCCGGCGGCCAAGAAGCCCGCCGGCGCCGCCAAGAAGCCCAAGAAGCCGGCCGCCAAGAAGAGCCCCAAGAAGGCGGCCAAGAAGCCCGCGGCGGGCGCCAAGAAGGCGGCGGCCAAGAGCCCCAAGAAGCCCGCCAAGGCCGCCAAGCCCAAGAAGGCGGTGGCCAAGAGCCCGGCCAAAGCCAAGGCGGTCAAGGCAAAGGCTAAAGCCAAGCCTAAGACCCCCAAGGCCAAGGTGGCCAAGCCTAAGAAGGCTGCAGCCAAGAAGTGAAGGGGCTTCCATAGAGTCTCAACCTTTCGATCCCAAAGGCTCTTTTAAGAGCCACCCACAATTTCACTGAAAAAGAGCTGTCATCCTTGTTCTAGTTTGTTTGGTCTTTGAGCAGGTTCAACCTGAAAATTGTCCAGGTGGACCAGTCACAAATTTGGACAAGGGCCTATTTTGCTTAAGCTGTATAACGAACTGACGCGAGAGTTATGATGATTTCCTCCTACGTGTATATACTTCTTTGGGAAGACAGCTGTAAAAGCTGAATGCCCGAAGCAACCCCCCCCCCAGTAACATTCCTCTAATGGGGCTACACATAGCAACTGTTTTAGCTGATGCCTCAGCAACCAGCATATAAAAAAGCACATTTAACTGGACAGGGTGATGCTACAGTCCCGTGTCCAATTGCGTGAAGGAAACTTCTCTAGCTGACTTGTCAGGAAGTGAATCCAAGCCTTTTCGTAGATGTGCTGGCCCTGAAAAGAGCCTTTGGGTTTTCAAAAGTGCGCAGAGCGAAGGTTTTACGCTCTCTCCCCGCGGATGCGCCTGGCGAGCTGGATGTCCTTGGGCATGATGGTGACTCGCTTCGCGTGGATGGCGCACAGGTTGGTGTCCTCGAAGAGCCCCACCAGGTACGCCTCGCTCGCCTCCTGCAGCGCCATCACGGCCGAGCTCTGGAAGCGGAGGTCCGTCTTGAAGTCCTGCGCGATCTCGCGCACCAGCCGCTGGAAGGGCAGCTTGCGGATCAGCAGCTCCGTCGACTTCTGGTAGCGCCGGATCTCGCGCAGCGCCACCGTGCCCGGGCGGTAGCGGTGCGGCTTCTTCACGCCCCCGGTGGCCGGCGCGCTCTTCCGCGCAGCCTTGGTGGCCAGCTGCTTGCGCGGAGCTTTCCCGCCCGTCGACTTGCGCGCCGTCTGCTTCGTCCGAGCCATGCTCTCGCTACAGCAAGCTAAGGCCACAAGCTAAAACGCTGCAGTTGTAAAATGAATAAAAGGGGAGCGCCGGCGCGCGGAAATTTATAGGAACCCCCTCCTTTTCTGATTGGCTAAGACAAATATTACTCGTAAGAGAAGGAGCTTCCGATGATTGGACAAAAAATTCCGGAATTCACGATGATTGAACAAAAAACGTTCCTTTCTTTCATCAGTAGGTTCCTCCTTGTATCACAGCCAATGGAAATTGTCGTTTCTGCAGTAGCAGTTGCAGTGCAAAGAATAAACTCTTAGTATGTCTCCAAATTCAGTGAAGGATGTATTAAATGTGCATTAAAGATCACCGAAGAAATTATTTTTTTTAATCACAAGACCAGATCTTTCTTGTTTGCTTGGGCAGATTATTATTATTTTGTAAACATCAGCAGTTGACACTGGAACTAAGCGAACAGAAAGCATCCAATTCTAGAAACATTAAACACTTTTTCTCTAGACTTTATTTGTAAGCTATCCTGCTACTGTCAGTGTACCGGAATATAGTTCAAAAGTGACCGCGGGGGGCAGGGGTGGTTTTTAAAAAAGAAAGAAAATTCAAATACAGAATGCACTCGAACTTTGATTTGATTTCCTTTAATTTTTAAGGGAGAAGGGGAAAAACAATAATTTTCCCGCCTTCATAAGTATCCCCAAATACAGTGAAATATTTTAGCTCTGATTGGTCAGATTCAAATTCCCTGCAATGGATTGGCGAATAAGCCAAACCGAGATGACGAATAGGCTCGGCGGGACGACATGCCCTCTCAGGTTTTCACTCAGGTCGGGTTCAGAGCTATATAAGTTCAGCGCTGGTTTTTCTTCCGAGCTAGTCGCCTTCGTGCTTTCTGTGCAGTTCCTGCTCTCTAGCCTGCCGCAATGTCTGGCCGTGGGAAAGGTGGGAAAGGCCTTGGAAAGGGAGGCGCTAAGAGGCACCGCAAAGTGCTCCGTGATAACATCCAAGGCATAACGAAGCCTGCCATCCGTCGCTTGGCTCGCCGCGGGGGAGTGAAGCGCATCTCGGGCTTGATCTATGAAGAAACCCGGGGTGTCCTGAAAGTCTTCCTGGAAAATGTCATCCGCGACGCGGTAACTTACACGGAGCACGCCAAGCGCAAGACTGTCACCGCGATGGACGTCGTCTATGCCCTCAAGCGCCAGGGCCGGACTCTGTACGGTTTTGGCGGCTGAAGTCCTCGCAGCTGCCTTCCCAGCGCAAAAGGCCCTTCTCAGGGCCACCCACGTTTTCATGGAAGGGCTGATTCGTGCGAAGCGCCGCCTGTAAAGCGGCTGCTGCGGCTGAAATGGGCTGTTCCGCGTTTCCCTAAGCGGAAGGCGACGTCGTGCGTTTACTGAAGCAATTTGCTTCGTTTTCATCAAACACTTTCTAGCGAAGGAGCGTGGAAAGTAATTTCATTAAAATCAAGTGTCAAATCTTTAGAAGCCAGCGCCGTTTTTAGGGTTGCCTCAGGAAAATTAGCGAGAGAATTTCTTGAGCATTTTTGTTTTAATTACCTTTCCTCTGGAAGGTCCCCCTAACAAGCAGCTAGTATATTCCTGGGCAGTTTTTCCTGTAGGAGATGCGGTTTTTAATGCTGAGTTTTCAACAGCTTCCTTTTCTGCCTACAATTAAAGCTCCCCATTCCATTTGTTACAGTTTTCCATATCACTCCTGTATAAATACTAGTTGAAAGGGGGGGGGGAGGAGTATTCACAATAAGAAAAGAAAGGATAGCACAAAGGTAGCTGAATGTTCTAGCTTTTTATCCAATGGTAATGGAACAGGGTAAATTTATAATTTAGGTTTAAATTATCAGCAATAAATGCCCTAATTTATCCGGTAAGGTCTTTTTATTCTGCTAACACTTTTCTGCATTTAGTGCTTATGAGTCTGACACTGATATAAATAATTTGAATCTTAAAAGAGAACATCATGTATTAGGTGGATTGAAAACAAATCAATTTATGCATATATATTGAGAACAATGAATCCACTTATGCATATAGAATCTGCTGCCCAAGACTAGCCCAAAGCTTTACAGCAGATAAACTGTCAGAAGCAATTAATTAGACAGAAACTTCAGGTGGGTGTATTGGTTGATTAGAGAAAAAACAAAAGTCTGAACACTAATAGTTTCCATATTATTAGCTATAAAAGTACAAAGAATGAGCATGCTTTTGAGTTCATCAGGATTCTTTACTGGACTTAGAAGTTAAAGGAAAATATGTTTTCATGGCTGTTGAACACACTCCAGTTTACAGCATTTGTCCTAAAATAAAGCAGAAGTACTTACTCTTGCAAGTGCAATTAAACTTAAAGAAAAGCAGCAAACTGCCTTGCATCATTCATGGCTGATGTAGCTGCAACAGACCAACATGAGAGTCATAGAATTGGAAGAAGGGGCCATTCATGTGGTTGAGTCCAACCTTCTGCTCCCTGCAGGAATCCAGTTGAAAGCATCCTGGACAGAAGGCTCTGCTGTGTAAGAGTAATTTCCTAATGTCTGACCAAAATCTGCCTTCCTGTACCTTGACCCCGTTTTACATCTTGCAGTCTGGGATAATAGAGAACCGGTTGCTGCTCTCTTGCATATGGCAACATGCCAGGTACTCAAGAGCTGTTGCTTCGCCCTTCTGTCATCTCTTCTCGGCTCGGGGTAGCGTGCCCAGTTCCCTCTGTCTTTCTTCACAGGGCTCTATTTCTAGTCTTCTGGTCATCTTCTCTGAACTTGTTTCAATTTACTTGAATCTTTAACATGTAATGTCTAGAATTGGGCACAATATCTGAAGTGAGGTTTGATCAGTGCCAAGTGGAGTGGATCTGTGATTTAGAAGCTATACGTGTATTGGCACAACCTAAAAATTTCATTTGCCATTGTTGTAGCCACACTACCCTGCTGACTCATATTCAGCTTGTGCTTGAACACCATTCCAAGATTTTCACATGTACTATTGTCAAACCAAGTATTTGAGTTCTTTTTCCTAAAAGGACTTGCCTCTGTTAAATTTCACTGAGTTGCCTTCTACCTGGTAATCTCACCTATCAAGAAAATTTTGAATTTTGTTTCTGCTTTACTATATTCTATGGGAACTACTCACAAGTGAGTGGATTCTGCATAGATTAAATTTAGTTGTGTAAAAAAGATTTCGGAATGAACATTAGACATTAATAAGCATAGCCTTTAGCTCCTTGAAAATACTCAGTTTTGACTCTAGCACTAGCTAGAACATATGAGCTCTTCATACTTGGACTATTGGGTAGGTAACCTTTTTTTAACCCGGAGGGTTAAAAGTTTCATTTCGGAGAAGGCTGCACTTTCTAGTAGTGAATGGGGTCAAAGGTAATAGAGGCAGATCAGAAAAATTAAAATGCTGGCATAATTGAGGAGTTTGGGGATAGACCAATGCACTGTCTGGTGGATTAGGGCAGACTGATGGACCGAAAGCAGAGGGTTAGTGGGGAATCATTGGGATGGCAGATGGACGAGTGGGTCCCCCGAGGCTCAGTCTTGGGACTGATCCTGTCCAGTCTTTTCATCAATGACCTGGAGGAGGGGAGGACAAGTCTGCTGGTCAAATTTGCAGATGATACTAAAACTGGGGCAGTGGCTACGACTGAGGAGCAGGTACTCCGGATCCAAAGAGATCTGGGCAGACTATGGAAGTGGGCAGGGGGCAACAGGATGGCATTCGATGCAGGTAAGTGCAAGGTCTTGCACTTGAGGCATAGGAATGGGCATCATAAGTGCAGGTTAGGGGACAAGTGGCTGGAGAGCAGCACTTGTGAAAGGGATCTCAGGGTATGGGTCGACTGCAGGCTAAACACGAGCCAGCAGTGTGATGTAGCAGCCAAGAGGGCAAACACCACCCTTGGATGCACAGTCAGAAGCGTGGCTTCAAGATCAAGAGAGGTATTACTGCCACTCTGTACAACTCTGGTGCTCCTGAAGCTGAAGTATTGCGTTCAGTTCTGGGCCCCTCATGGCAAAAGGTTGGAATCAGTGCAGCAGCAAAGGGCCACTAGGAAGGTGGCTGATTTGCAGGGTGAGCCAAACGAGGCAAGGCTGAGGGACAGACAGGTATGTGAGAGGGTGTCACATAGGTAGGTCAGGGCAGGACACATTCCAGTGAAGCAAAGCTCAAGGAACCAAGATTTAGAGTGGATTCCAGGAAGTATTTCCTGACAGTTAGGACCCCAAGGGTATGGAATGGGCTTCCACGGGAGGTGGTTGAAGTCTCAATTATGAGGGTGTTTAAGGATAGGCTGGACATGAGTGCAGCCAACTGGAACTGGGGGTCAGACTAGATGGCTCAGGAGGCCCCTTCTGACTTACTCTTGTTTCTGTGTTTCCTTGTTCTGTGTTTCTATGTTTTAATTTAGTTTAAAGCCACTAAGCTGTAGAATAGGAATTTCAGCCTTCCAGCAAGCACAAAGAATTACACCTAAGCAGGGAAATTACCAAATCCCCAAGTGTGTGTGTGTGTGTGCGCGTGCGCGCGGGGGGGGTGGAGCTAAGGGAGGAGCCTTCTGGCAAGCCCAAGAATGGTAGTTTCGAGTTCCAGAGGGCTCGAATTAGCTCCTAATCTTGATCTGTACCCCCAAGAGCCATACTGGATCAGGCCAAGCGTTCCTCTAGGCCAGTCTTCTGTTTGCATAATTGCCAAGTGGGGAACCCACATATGTTCCCAATTTGCCTCCCTCCCCCCACATTTCCTGGGTTGCCTCTGGCCAGTCTGTCCTCCATGTCACTTGAACACCAAGTCATTATCACCTAGTAACTGGAAAATAAAGATGGACATTTTTTTCTCAAGCAAGTTAAGTTTTAAAATAAATAATTGGCAGCTTTGTTAAAATGCTCGTCTTGTTTCGATGAACCCAAATATTTCTAATAGAGACAATTAGAGTAAAAGGCGTGCTAAATAGAATAGGCTCCAAAATGAAATTGCTCAGTCTGAATATTTATTGGTCAGTTTAAACTGCATATTGCTCGTTCATTGGTCAGACTACCAGGTAAGGGAACGAAATATTTTCTCCTCCTCCCTAAGTTCTCATTCTGGTCGGACCGCATGGCATATAAGCCTAGTGACAACTGCCTCGTAGTTATTTCTTTCTCGCGCGCAGGGGACGCCTGTACATTGAAGGGAAGATGTCTGGCCGTGGAAAGGGCGGTAAAGGTTTGGGGAAAGGCGGCGCTAAAAGGCACCGCAAGGTTCTTCGTGATAACATCCAAGGAATTACCAAGCCGGCTATTCGCCGTTTGGCCCGTCGCGGAGGAGTCAAGCGCATTTCAGGCTTGATCTATGAGGAGACCCGGGGCGTGTTAAAGGTTTTTCTGGAGAATGTTATTCGCGACGCCGTGACCTACACGGAGCACGCCAAGCGCAAGACCGTGACTGCCATGGACGTCGTTTATGCACTGAAGCGCCAGGGCCGCACCCTCTACGGCTTCGGGGGCTAAAGCAAAAAGCTCCGCTTCTGACCAACAACCCAAAGGCCCTTTTCAGGGCCACCTACACTGGCAAGGAAAGGGCTGTGTCCTATGCAGTGTGTCGTGCAGTGTATACTGCAGCAGCTATTTCTTTGTTCCGTGTGTTGAGGCATCAGTGTGTAGTCTGAATAGAAAGAATTCCTTGTATGCAACAAAACATGTAAGAAAAATAAGGGTGGAATATGTACAATACATGATAAGTCTTGAATATTTTGCTTATGGAAAATTACTTGGTACTTAAATACATTTGCTGTCTTCCCAGTAATGAAAATATGACACTTAAAACTGCATGCTTTGGCATTCTCTCTGCCCTGGTGTTCTCCCAGTGGTCATACTGGCTGGGGAGTCAGTCCACTTAATTGTATTCGACCCATCTGAAGGGCAGTAGGCTGATAAGTATGTTTCAACTAGAAAAAGACCGCTTATACCAGCCAGCAATGGTGGGAGCTGTAAGATTTATGTCTTATAAACATACAAAGGGTTAACTTGGTTAAAGTCAGAACGTCTACATGGGCAATGTCTCAAGACCAACCTTCCCTTTGGAGGGAATTGGCAGGATCATTTAGAAAAATTCAGAGGAAAACACAAGAGTAGCAAAATTTTAAAATGTGAAATGGCTAATTATACATAGCTGACTTGTCTTTGTTCGAAAATATGTCCCACTGTATATGATGAGATCTACTCCCGGGGAAACATGCATCAAATAGCAACCTTAACGATTGCATGCCTGTGTATGTTCATTTAGAAGTCCCATTGAATTAAATGACATTTACTTTCAGGTGAGTAAGTATTGCAGTCTTAATTGTGCAGAGTCTAATCCATGTATGTAAAATATTTTAAAATAATGTTCTTGGTAGTAAACCGAACATCTTATTTCTTTTGCTGTCCTTATCCTACATGGATTTCACTGCATCTGCTATTATGTCCAAAAATAAGGATTATTGGGCGTTGCAATCCAAGCATCTCTTTCACCCATGAATTCTGTTCCCATCTGCACTATTACACTCACTGAAGAAATGTTTCCAGCTCCGAGCTGCGCTGAGTCAGGCTGGGAGATGCAGCCCGTGCTTCGGATTAATTTGCACTGCAATTCGCTGAGCGGAAAAAACAGTTTCGTATGTCTTGGTGGCGCAACAAGAGTTGGTTTCACTGCGACATACTAACACCAGTCCTTCTGAAACATGGTTCACAGACAGGGATTTAAAATTGGCAAGATCGGCTGCTTTCTCGCGCAGAGGTATAGTAAGCTGCCGCTTCCGGGAGGGCGTTCTTTCTCCGTACCGTTTGCGCTTATTTAATCTATTCTGGCAATTTTGTGCAGGGGAAATAACTCACGCCACAGTGGGATGAAAATACTTCTTGCTTTTAGGAACGGGCTTTAATAGTTAAACACGGGCTCTTTACATTCAGAAGTGGGGCAGCCTTCACAGACGCTGAAGATGGCGGACACCGTGACTTGGGCGGCTGATGCCCAGCTTGTCCAGGCTCCGGGATCACGATGCTGAAGTCGCCGAGGCCAGGCAGGCCCGGGAGGAAAAGGGCAGCCCCGCGCTCTGTGAAGGAAAAGGCTTCCCATTGTTCTGCCTTGCAGGCCACGTGCACGAAGTGAAATCCCGACGATATTCAATCAGAGCAATGCGCCTCCAGGTTGCATCGCGCCGCCCTCGTGAGAGCTGCAATCTCACGCACGAGATACAATTGAATTGTCTTCCGGGGAGCCGATTGCCCCCCGCCCCCCCCCGCTCCCATCTGGGCTTGTCCCAGGTTCTCGTACTCACAGGACAACTGCGGTGCAGGCTCGCTGTAATAAAGTCCCAGCGCGTCCCCTTACTCTGAGGAAAGTGTGCAGGAAGTGGCAGCTATACCGAGGGCGGGGGGCATCCACTCCAACTGGGCGCTTAGTTCTGATAATCGTCAGGATTTCACTGCATGCGCATCTCCCGAAAAGCAAAACGCGAATACGGCAAAGCCTTTTCCATCGCAGAGCGAGAAAACCGCCTCGTTCTCTAAACACCGTTTCGCTGCAGAACAAACTAAACCTTTTCGTGCCCGTGCCTGCATCACGTTGTGGGGTGGCGATACACTTAGCGTAGCTTTATGTTGAAATGTAAACGCGCGAGGAGGAAGGCGCGGCATTAAGTAACCCAGAGAACAAAGACCGGGCATGGGAAAAGAGGGGACGAATCGGAAAGTTTAGCCGTCAGTGGCCCAATCGCGGCAGAGCCCGGGAAATTCAAACCTGGTTAACGGCCGGGAGGGCACGACCAGCCAATGGGGCGAGGAGGGAGGGCTATAAATGTCCACCAGCCCGGCCGCCAGCCTCATTGTCCTCGGCTCTTCATAGGGACTCCTCGCGACATGGCTCGGACGAAGCAGACGGCGCGCAAGTCGACGGGCGGGAAAGCTCCGCGCAAGCAGCTGGCCACCAAGGCTGCGCGGAAGAGCGCGCCGGCCACCGGGGGCGTGAAGAAGCCGCACCGCTACCGCCCGGGCACGGTGGCGCTGCGCGAGATCCGGCGCTACCAGAAGTCGACGGAGCTGCTGATCCGCAAGCTGCCCTTCCAGCGGCTGGTGCGCGAGATCGCGCAGGACTTCAAGACGGACCTCCGCTTCCAGAGCTCGGCCGTGATGGCGCTGCAGGAGGCGAGCGAGGCGTACCTGGTGGGGCTCTTCGAGGACACCAACCTGTGCGCCATCCACGCGAAGCGAGTCACCATCATGCCCAAGGACATCCAGCTCGCCAGGCGCATCCGGGGGGAGAGAGCGTAAAACCTTCGCTCTGCGCACTTTTGAAAACCCAAAGGCTCTTTTCAGAGCCACCAACTTCCTCAGATAGAAGAGCTTGAATTGACCACCTTATGGTGTATTGTATATTTACCCCGCTCTGTAGCATTTCTAACCAGGCAGTGCCCAAGATCCGAGATAAGGAACTGCGGGGTGTTGGTTGGGAATATAACAGCAATGGTTAAAAAGCTTGTGTTGCTTGGATTCCTATTTAAGTCAAGCGAAAATGACGAAGTTACTCCACTTATCGCAGAAACTCCTATCAGACTCCAGGAACCTCCCGGAAGTAGAGAGACGCGATCGTAGCTCCATCCCTTGTCTACTTTTCCTGTTCAATTTAACGATTGATACTTGAAGACATTTCACTATGTCTTTCTTGTCTTGTACTTCCACACTGTTCAGTGGAATCTTGAATGCTGGGTGATGGGTTTAAGACTACACCCCCCCCAAAAAAAAACCTTCCGTGGTAAGCCGCACAGCTCAAACCTAGTACATTGGGATCCCTTGTTTCTTAATACCACTGCCTGAATCATTTCAGCAACACCAGAAATCCAATGCACAAGACAGGCAGGCAAAGGAGGAAATCAGCTTTTTCAGTGAAATTGTGGGTGGCTCTTAAAAGAGCCTTTGGGATCAAAACTAAAGAGTCTCCACGAAAGCCTCTTCACTTCTTTTTTGGCGCAGCCTTCTTAGGCTTGGCCACCTTGGCCTTGGGGGTCTTAGGCTT